CGATTAGAAAAAGATGGACTATTCCGGGGCTGAGATATTCGCGAAATTCGTCACTGGAACTTGTGTACTTTTGTACTTTTCGTTAAATCACTAAGTACCCGTCGTAATTGCGAGCGCAGTACAGTGAAATGAAGTGTAATTAATGCAGGACGACTGGGTGCTGAAGAGGCTGAATAAACACGATAGGAGATGCTACTAACTGGTGAGCGGGGCTGAACGTCGTTGGATATCAGCGCGAAACTGTGAGTGTACAATTCAAACGCCCACGAAGCGTCATATTACGTGGTGCATAATTGTTCGGACGTAAATCGCATTGATTGCTAATGAAAAATGTCCGCGGGCGATGCATTCTGACAGTACGAGGTCACTTGAGAAATATTTAGGGATCCACATATATACGATGACCTGCAAATGTGTATTTACAGCGTCTGGCCGTAACGTAAAAAAGATAGATCTTTCGGTGACATATTTTTCCCTCGCTCTCTAAAATGGTGCATTCGGACCAAGATAGCATTTAAACTCGCGTTCGCGAATTGGTTCGTTCTACGTCAATTCGGCAATTCGATTTGCAAATTAAGCGGAGAATCTTGAGATATATTCATCTCGCGGTAAATCACTCTCTCGGCATAAAATCCACGTCTCTTCTCGGATAATCCGCGAACACTCGTAAATTTCGCAAGTCCGAAAGCACGTTTTAATTACATCGACCCGTCGTTGCTAGTCGTTCTTAAAATGTCACAGGGGATATGCGACTCTCTCGTTTCGCGTGTATTCTTCGGCCGTCACGCAGGACCGTCCCTTTGTAGAAGACGCGCGAGCTTAAAGCCTCCCGTCGTCTATTCGAGCCACGTACTATAACTCGCCTGGAACGCGTGCGGTCCCTCAGGGCGGACGCACCACACTCGAAACGTTTCTTCCCCTTATGAAATTGTAACAGAGGCGGGATTAGCATGGGGCATTGTCTCCGGGGCGAAGAGTGGGTTCACGTTGTAGCGACGTTATCGGGATCGACCCGTCCGCCCGAAAGCACCCGAATTTCCATTCTCACTTTTGCCGCCCGAAAATACGCCGTTTTAAATGCACATCTTAAATTCCGTAGAACGTGATCTCCTTCTCGCTCCATCTCGCTCGTCGTTTTGCAGTTTGAGCGCGGCTAAGTTCGAGAGTTATCGGCAAAATGGAATCCGGACGGGATATTAGAATATTAAAAATGAATTCTGCGCGATCTCGCCGGCGAGATTCGCAGCGTTCAGCAAGACGGGAATTTAACCGACCGGGAGGACACAGCAATGGCGGAAACAATGGCGTTCCTCAGAAGAACCGTTAAATCCGTTGCATTCGCGTATTCGAAACTGAATATCAGCGACCGTCCGATCGTATTTCTCATCCGTATCGGCCCTCGAGTTTCCCTTTAACGCGCCCGGCCGACTTATGGTATACATAACTAACGCCTTCGCGAGTCGATCCGACCCTATTCGACATTGTATCTCTCCCTCGGCATTCGCAGCGATCCTCTCGCTCTCCCGGCAGCTGGACGATCAGCATGCATATATGTAAAATGCAAAATTGTATCATCCCGCGCGCTCTCCGTATTCTTTCTTACGTCTTCCTCACCTCGCGTCCAAGTTTCTCGCGTTCCGGTTTAGCCCCACGTTAACATCCCCCCACAGCAGCGAAATGCCCCGGAGGCTTACCGCAGGGAACGAATGTGACAGAACTAGGGAGGGGAGCGGTTTCTGGCCGGTCTGCTCGGTTGACGTTTTACGGCCACGCAGCGTTACGAGCAAAATCGAAATTCAATGCCCGTTAATTCTCAATGGAATCAAACTCTGCGGCAACGCACCGATCTCTCGCGATGCTATTTCATTGCAACCGAATCCGAGCGGGCGTTCATATCGAGGAATCACGGAGAGAATCGGACAACGATCAAATATGCCGCAAACGAACCCAGCGAGATCCTCCCCGTTTATTTGCGAGTGTTTTTCTCGCGGGGGCGACGCACGATCGGGAACGATCGTCATCGGAAGCGCGAGTCCGCGAGTTCCGGTGCGTTACGCAAGTTATTCGCTCGAATTATTTCTTGTTGTGCTCGCGTTTGCAAGAGACACGGCAGCAAACCGCGTTACTATCGTTGGCATATTTTCGAGCAAGTTGCTCGGCGGTGACCCAGCATGCGGAACGTAAGTTACGCTCGTGCAAACTCTATATCGCTCCGCGGTGAACGTTTTGGAGTAACTTGGCCGAGACGGTCCGTTCGTGCTGAATAACTCGCGCGTGTACATCAATTCGTGTACCTATATAATGATCACGAACGACCCGGCGAAACGCCCGGAGGCGAGGAATAACTATCCGCTGTGCTTCGACGTTTTCGCATCCCCGTTCTCTCTCCCTCCCTCCCTCCTTCCTTCTGTGTCCACTGACCGCATTGTCGTCCACGTTAAAATTAGTTTCAGCGCCGTCACAATCGCCGCATCTGGCGGGAAGGCCAACGAGGAACGACGGACGGCGAGGGGTGAGACGGATTCCTCTCTTCTGTCCGGGGCGGTTTTTCGTTTCGCGACAGGTGGTGGGACCAGCGATACGAATATAATTGCGTTTTCGAATCGTCCCCCCCTTTCCCCGCAGTCGTTCCGCCGCTCCCTTTGTCGCTCCTGTCGATCCGTTGGAGAAATAATTTTTTTCCCGGTTGGAATTTTTCTCATGGGGTAAGGCAGCCGGGTCGAAACGCAACGGTCAGATCAATATAACCGTGAACGAGTAAAGAGTACTCGTCGATGAAACTCACGGAGGAGGCGAAACAACGAAGCGGAAAGAGGGAGAGAGGATCGTATCGGTTACTTCTGTTCTTAACATCTGTTTCTCGGAAGAAACGTGCTCGCGTAATACCGTTCACCATAGAGAGACATGGGAGTACCGAGATATTGGAGAAAGAGAGGGTAGGGGGGCGGAGAACGAGCTGCTTTTCGATAAAACATACCGTTGAGTATCTCGTACGTACATCGGACGCGCTCAAAGTGTTTCTCGCTACACTATTTAAGCGCCCTTCAGCCCTTTCACTCGTAGGTAACCGCCGGTTTTGTCGGAACCGGTGGAAACCGACTCTGTAAAATCGTGCGATAACGCGCGGAAACTCGAACGCCAGAACGTCGAAGCACCAGATACGAACTTCTTGCCGCGAGCTGTAGGTCGAGAGCGTGGAGGTGGAGGAAACAGCTCGGCGATTTTCCAATCGTGCCGCGGGGCGTTCGTTGTCTCTCCGAAGGGAACAAATCGACGAACAACGTCGACGATCGGATTTCGCCCCCCGATCGACCGAATGAACGGAATCGTAGGTAAACGGCCGTCGCCGGCCAGGTGGAGGCGGCTCGACGCGCCTTGTCGCGACAGGGGAGAGGGTTAAAAAGCAATTTGCCCTTTCCGGACGAATCGACCGACAGCTGACCGCGTTCTGGATGCGGAGGCGTCACACGGGCGAAACCACGACCGGGGGCAATTTCGATTCGATCTCCGCGTGCGTTTACACGCGCGTAAGAGCGTAAGACGTGTAAAAGGCCGAAAGGTTTGAGCACGCTTCTGCGGATTATCGGTTCCGAGAGAGCGGAGCAATAAAGCTCTGTACGTTCCATCTCTGTGTAGCGTAGCCGTGACAGCGCGTCCAGGATTGTTTGTATCTTCGTCACCGCGCTCATACGATACGCAAATGCACTTTGGCGAGCTTTTAAATCGGACCCCCGCGCATTTGCGTCGGCGAGGGTGCGCGTGTGAAAAAATCATCGCGCGATTCGTTCGTCTACAATGGATCGCTTACCGGAGTAGATACGCGTCAGCTGTCCGAATGACGTCGATGTCGTTTCGCTCGGCTATGCATGATTGACAGTTTTATGGGGACGAACGGAGCCCGCTTTCCAAGTTACGACCGGGGCCTGGTTTTATCGCCCCCTCGAACCGGGGGGTCGAACCGTTACGTCGCGTTTCATGCTAATCGATACGAGGGCGATCGCCGGAGACGAGTGGACTGAGCTCTCTCCTTCTGAGATTTTTTTACCGACGAACGGATTCGTCGTGTGCAGCTTGCGGCGAAAAATAAGCCCGGGGTTCGCGGCTCGCGCGTGCTGCGGAAAAGTAGGGTTTCTCATAGAGGGTCTCCCCCTTCGAATATAAGACGCACTCTCTAAATTTCGTAGAGCGAAATCTCCGCTCGAAAAATGGAGTGACAGCCAAGTAATTCGAATTGGAGTGACTTTTCACTCTTATAGAGTAAATTCTTTCGTGGAGTGAATCCTTTCGTCGAGTTCAAACTCAGTAGCACATAAGCAAATTTTTCAAATATAAATAGAATCGATCAAATGGCATATAATTGAGAAGATTTTGAGACGACAAAATTATTAATGACACCTTAACGCAATGAAAAAGAAAGAATACGTGTCAAATAATGTAAATTAGAGGAATTCATTCTTTTTGGTGTAAAACGTTCACTCCAATCGAATGAAACACTCGCTCCGAACGAATGAAACATTCATTCCACGGTTGGAGTAGGATATTCACTCTTGTGAAAAGTGAAATGTTATTCCATTCCGAGTGGCAGTATTTCCACTATTGCTTGGAATGAATTCCCATTCGTTCGGAATGAGATTACACTCCAAGAAATTTGGAGAGACAATTATACAGAGGATTATCTCGCTCTCGTTCCTCCCTATTGCGTCACGTTTTAAATACGTTTAGTGTACACTAACAATCGCGCGTAACGTAATTAAAATTTACGGGTGCCGTCGCAGTTGTGGCCGAAGTTGCCGCTAAGAGCCTTATCGCGGAAGCACAGAGGTCGAACGTACTCGCGCGTTCAAAGCCGAATGTGGCCGCTGTTGAGTTCTGAATATTGCTTATCCGACGCGGGAATCGAAGTCGATGTGAACGGGGGATGGGCGCACGGCCAACAGCCGCACATTTAGCATTAAACGCGCCAACGGGGACCGGAATGTACAAAAGGCTGGACAACTCACCTCGCAGCTGGAATGACTGATGTTGCTCAGATTTAGCCTGAAGATCTTGTCCCTGAAAACAGAAGAGGAAAGTTCCGTGTTAGCGTAACGGCCGAATTAAGCGTGGTCGCGATAGACGGAAAGGGTCGAGGGGTAAATTTTCATTCCCCCACGTCTGCGAGATGCATTACTCTCCGTGACTCGACCCTACCTTATCTCGCCACGGTTATGTATGCTTGTGTAGCGCCGCGGCACTTTGCTTACGGCTCTCCGCCGCGGCGAACGCTCGCAAACGGCACGGAATTTCTATGAGGGTGGAAGGGGAGACCGGAGGGCAAAAGTGGGATGAGGTACTGCCTCTCTGACCGAGTTCTACCTCTTGCCTCTTCTTTGTTCAACGGTGGTCGAAGTCACGATGTCTCCGGGTCGCTCGCTTTTATTAGGACTTTTATTTCTCGCAACATCATCATTCACGTTCGGAAAAGTAAGGGAAAGAAAGAAAGGAGGTGGAGGAACTCGCGAAACGCGATAGAGATGGTCGACGACGGAAGTAAGAAGAAGAAGAAGATACGAAAAGAGAAGCCATTACCATTTCGTGGTGGATGCAACGTTAATTTAACATCTCAGCGTGGAAGTGACGCGCTTTCGTGCGTGCTCGATCGATACAGCGGCCGGCTCACCACCGATAAGTAAAACGCAGAGTAGATCCGCGTGAGGATTTCCATATAAATCTTGCCACGACCGCCGCATGGCAATCTGAGGTATCGCGCTCGATCACACGTGAAAGGTATACGCGCTGCTGGGCGCCGCCGATCGTAAATCGAATTTACCCAGTTTTCAAATGTTTCGCAACATTAACGCCGACGCGCCGCATAACTTTATCCCAATAGCCATTCATCATCGCCTTTCAATAGAAATACGCAGTCAGACGGAATGCCCGCGCGGAACGTAAAAGAGGAGAGAGAAAGAGAGAAAAGGAGAGAAAGAGGGAAAAACGAAGGGAGGAAGACCTATCCTTCAGCGGCTGTCTTTTTTCATTCATTCTGTGCACAGTGCCGTGAAAAAGTAAATAGCGACGTGGAAAAACAAATCCGCACTTTGGAATCCGCCCGCGTCGAACTTTCGTCTCGGGGAAACTTTCCGAGGGCTCGGCAGGTGGAGAGGAAAGAGGTCGAAGAGCGAGGTGGCGGCGGAGGACGCGGATCGTCTACGTGCTGGCACGTCGCTCACGCTACCGAAAGAAAAAATTCGTAGGAAAGTAATTTGTAGAGGAAACCCAACGTTAAGGGCGGGCTTCCCCGCCGAGTCATCGCTCAGCAGCCGCCTTTGAGATTCGATCGGAGGTAGATAGAGAGAGAGAGAGAGATCGAAATCGCGTGCGTAATCAAACCGAGAAATTGCTTCGCGCGGAAAATCGCCGAGTAAAAATTTCATTAAACCCTCATTGACACGACTCCATGGAAAGTGGAAGGTTTTCCGGAATAAAGAAAGTATTACTCTTGGGAATCGGGGAAAGAATTCGGTTCAATTTAACGTCTTACATCGCCTTAAGGGGTTTTCGAGGGAAAGTTTAATTAAAATCCGGGAGCCCGTCCTTGCGCGCACGCGCGGGTCCGGGCAATTTCTTAAAGCTACCGGTCGCGGGACTGCCTGTATCGCGGAAGAAAATTTCGATGGATTTGATTGCTAATTACGCGAACGAGCAGATAAGCTTAATTAAGGAGATTCCTCGCTACGAGCGAACGACCGTGTACGTTATCGTGTGTGTTCTCCATATCTGAATTAGGTCACGGTTGTGGAATAACAACCGCATCGTACTCTCTCTCTGCTCACGTTCCGCGCCCGGATGCTTCCTCTCGGATATGTAACACGGACATTTTGCAGAATTTTCACCGCGGTCCGGGAAGGAGCCTGACGAATGCCGGGCGAAATCCGAAAAGCATCGTTGTCTGAATTTGCGGTTGCGCGTGACGGACAGCTCTGACCCGGGGATGCATTATCCAACACGTCGGGATCTATCCCTCGCCGCCCTCCCGCGGATTCTCTCTGGTTTTGGGGGAATACATGACAAGGGCCGGGGATGTGGCGTTTGCAACGGCGCTATTTACCCCCGTCGCCTCCGGGAAAGAGATGTATATCCGCAAGGAGGGATGGGCTTTAACATAATAGAACGATTTTAATAATTCCGCCGTGTATGAATCAACGACGCCGCAGAAGCGGAGCAGCTACTGTCGCGTTCCCGTCCACGATAAGTCGCAGCCGTGCGACAAAGTCTCTGTGATAATTCGTCGCTTTCGTCGCGAAAGAATTCAGCCGCGCGGAGGTAATCTGGTGCGCGCGAAAGGTCGCAGCGTGTGAAGCGCGATCCAGCGTGCGGCTGACCTCTCTAACCTAATTCTTTCTGTAAAATTTCAACCGAGCGCGGTCCGACGGGGTAATTCGCCAAATCGATATACGACATCCGAAGTGCTAACATCGTCGAAAACGCGAAAGCTCAATTGCCACGCTTGGCTCCGCAACGCGCTGCTGCTGCTACCGCTGCTGCCTCATGTGGCCGTTTTCACCTCGCAAGCGTTCGCGAGATCGTAACTCATTTCTCTCTCTCTCTCTCTCTCTACGCTATCGCGCTGCTTTTCCCCGCTTGTTTCAGCGTCCGCGTCGGCGAAATCTCTCTCCGTCGCGTTCCCGGTTACCGGAGACAATTAGCAGGGAAACCGATCGCGACTGAATGCGCGACGTGTTAATCCCTGCGTCGCTTTTTCGACCGAATCGTCGCGAGCACAATAGGAACCCGGTGAAGAGAGCGACAAGTGCGCCCCGAACGCAACGGAAATATGACCGACGCGAAAGTCTTTCTTTCTTTTTTTTTTTTCCATTCCATTTCTCACTAGACGCGCAGCGCAGACGGTGCAGGCGCGGGCTTATAAGCGCGAAACTATATTTTTTCGTACGGCCCTCTCACTACCGGCCTCCGGTTTGATAATTGGAAGCGTTCAATTAGCGTGCCTTAATTGCGGAGTGAACCGCAACCGCGGGTGCCGATTCTCAAACTACAATTAATGGCTATCACCTTTCTAATTAACGAGGAACGATGCTCGCGCGTGTATCGATCGTCGCGTGCGATAATAGAGGAAAAAAGGTGAACGCGAGCGGCGTGGGGGGAGGGAGGGGGCGCGAGGAAAGGTATCGAGATCCAACGTGAAGTATTGCGAGCCGATCGATGTACGAGGATGGGTATGTCTTAAGGTCCCTCGCTGCAATTGTCCTCGCTTGCTGACGTCAGAAGCGAGAAACGCGTGCTAAGAATTCTTGCGTTATTCGTTTAAGCAAAACGGTACAAATGTGACATTTGTGATCGATTCAACACAACTTCGAATTGTGTAAAATTGTATAAAATTGCCCGAACACTTTTCTTTTACACGAACAATTAGTACATAGTCGGGAAATTAACTTTACACGGAACTTTCCCTTTTAATCTCTTTTTTCATGATTTTGCCAATGTTAATTTGACGACTATTTATTGATTGAGGCGTTTTCTCGCTTCCGACGTCGTCAAATAAGGAGCGAGGAAGCAGGAGTTTTAAAAATTACTTAAAAATTACGTCTCAAGAGATCACGGAGTCTTGATCGTCGTCGAGCATTTGGAAAGGAACCGTCGTAGCGATTTCCTTTTACGTCGAGCTCTTATCGGAATTCTATCCGATATTGTAGTTTCGTAGGTGGATACGCGCGTGTATATGTACACACATGTATGTACGACACGGCGAGACGACGCGAGCACGTGGAAGCAAGCCAGGAAGCAGGAAACGTTAAAGTCGAAGTAGCCGCTTTCCTTGGGAAATGCAATTTATCGTAACTGCGCTTTTCCTTTTGTCGCCCCATATGGCGAGCTCATCCCATCGCATAAACGAGAAAGAGAAAGAAGGAGAATGAGAGTGAGAAAAAGAGACGAAGAGAGGAGAGTTATTTCGAAAGCGGAAGCTTTTATGCGCTTGTCATTTTTTACTTTTCCGTCCTCCGGAAGTATGATTTATATCTCCCGTAATTTGATTTTTCTCCGCGCGCGCGTCGTGCGTACGTCCGGATTACATTCAACGTCGGTTTATCTTTTTCGTCATTAACAAGAGCTGCCGTGTATTTCGCGTATCCATGTGTACCGATATTGCTTATCCTGGGATCCTCGTGGTTGTGGCAGACGAGTACAACTCATCCGAACGCTGCCTGTAACGGCACCGACGAAGTCGAGCGAGCGTCTCTCTCGGTGACGAAAACATGCTCGCGGATTCGGCAAGAGAACCCTGTAAGACGATCCGTCCTGACTCACAAAGGGATTAAACAAGCATCGTTCCTGCTCGCCTCGGGATTTCTCTGTATCCGCGAGCATTCGAGGATCGTCCCCCCGACCGCGTCTCCATTACCGGGGGCTTCGTAGCATTTTGCTGGCATTTACCAAATTAAGAGGAGGGGAGGCAGCACAAAAGAGAGAACAGAGAATGGAGGGGGGGNGGGGGCGAACGTTAGCGGATGGTCGCCAGGGGTGGCGGCTGGAACCGAATCAAGAAATAATACTCCGCTGGTAATGATGCGACGACGTCCCGCCCGCAATCTGTACCGGTTCCGGGGAGCGGCGTAGGGTTGGCCCTTTAACCGTCTTTCGCTCCCGTCGAGTCACCGTCGAAGAAATAATAACCCGATACTCGTGCGAGCGGCGAAGAGTCGATCAATTTAACGGGTTATTACGGCTACCTACGGAACGGCAAGAAACTGCTCGTCGAACTTTTAATTACGACACGATTCCGCAAGAAAGAGAGAGAGAGAGAGAGAGAGAAAGCCGCGCCGAGGAAGAATTACGAAATATCAGGGAATTTTAGGGAGTCGGGGCAAATCCGCGGGTGAAAAAATATTAACGCGATTACCGGGGAACTGACAGCAACGTGGTGGTGTAATTACGTATTGTTTATCATTGTTTACGGTACACATCGAGGTCGGAATGTGCATTTTCGAGTGAAATATCTAGACGCTCGCTGAGTACCGCGAATAAAATAACAAATTCATTAATTTTCATTTCTGTTGACATGGTTTTCATTCGCTCAGCCAGCCGTAATTGCTGCGAGGGATCGTCAGTTTCGATTTATATTATATGTTTGCCCGCTTTGCGTTTTCCTTCGGAGCTCAAAGGTTCCGAGTAAATTGCCTTTCTGTAAAGTGAAACATTTAGAGCGAAAGAATTCTGTTCGGCCTCTGTAAGATGTGAAAGAGAGAGAGAGAGAGGAGAGGAACGACTCTGAATAAATAAGTCCGCGGTTTTCGCGAACAATAATCACGAAACTGGAATAATGAAAAAAGTATGTGTAATCGCGAATTTAATCAAACGAACGCTACACAGAATAGAGAAATGTTTTTAAGAGGTCATTCAACAATTACGTCACACGAAATTTGAGTATTTTTTCACCCCGCTTTCTTTCGTCGCGTTTTGCCATTTTAGTTCGAGAAAGCGACATTGAGAGGAACGGAAAAACATCGTTTTATGCGTCGTCCATGCAACAATAATTATTATCCCGAAAGCTCGCGTGTCACATATGAAGAGTAATCTCTCAAAGTTCGCGTTATCCGATTATATACGACAAAAAAAAATCGGCGAAAGAGGAAAAACTCCGATCGCAAACGGCGCGATCGCTGGGCGCGCGCTCCGTCGAATTTTAATCACAGCAATCGTAAAAATCCGCAGCGTACATATGTACACAGCGGCGCGCGGCCGGCCGTAATACCTCTGTCTCCTCGCACTTTGACGGGGGAACGGTCGCAACTTTTACCGGGGATTTTCATGGCGTGACATTTTATTACGGAGTTGCGGGAAAAAGTTCCACTTACATAGCTCCGACGTACAGGGCGTCCCTCTTACTGTCCAGATAGAGCGTCCTGTAGTACAGCATGCCGCAGCTGAATTCCCGCACGTGTTCTGAAAGCAAAAGTAAATAAGGGGATTAAACGCGACGTCGTGGAGCGGCGAAATTCATTTTCCGCGCCGCGGAAACGTGGCGGGAACGCCGCGGCGCCGCGACCGCTGCGCTGCTCGGTGGATCGTTAGATTTTCATTATGACTTTTATAATAACGGCCGGATAGTAAGGCGCCCCGTCCGCCCGCTTTCCCCGCCGACCCCGCCGGTAATCCGGCTAAAGTCAACTCTGACTTATCTCTACCGTAAACTCGTCGGAATTACACGGCACGTAACGCGCGCTCGACATTTTCGTTCCATCGGCCAGCGCGGATCCGCTGAAATCCGCGCCGCGGAAGCGTTGAAGATCAACTCGCGCGCGCGCGCGCAAGGAGTCGCGAGTTAATATTAGCGAACGAAGCAGCCACGCACCACGGCGGGCGGGAACTTCCTCGCGGTTGTCTCACGTGTAAACGCGAGTTCGTGTTTCGCGACAAATTCGCAAAGGAAGCGTATGTATTTAACCCTTTTCGGCGCGCTCGTTTCGGCCGATTATTCGAGCGCGCGTACCGGGGCCTCTTTATTTAATGATCTCGTATTTCTTGACACGTATAGAAGGAGAGAAACTGAGACGGAGAGAAGGAAAGAGAGAGAGAGAGAGGGACACATTGAACGTTCCGGGAACGAAGCCAACAGTCATCGCGATGTTGGCGAGAACATTGCGTCAAGTCAGTTATCATTTACACGTCAAGCTACAATGCGAAATTCATGTACACCCCCGCTGCCACAGGAACGTCAACAAGAGAGGGAAAGAGAGAAGGTGGAAAAGAGATAATAAACAACGGTCGACGACTCTCACCTTCTCTCTCTCCTCTCCTTCTCTCTCTCATCAGCCGACACTGATCTGCTTAACATATGAAAGAAAGCCGTCCCTTTCTAAATATACTCGCTCCACTCTGGGCTAACAGAGCGCGAACAATACTATATTTTATACGGTATCAGGAGGGGCTGACGTCGAATGAAAGGGGTTCCCACTCTGGATCCTACTCTTCCTCCGTATCTATCTATCTCTCGTTCGCCCCCCGTCTCTCCCCCTTCCTTTCTTCGCCGCTTCTCTCTCTCTCTCTCTCTGATTCTGTATCTCCAACGTTAACCAACCCTTCGCATGTACTCTCTTCTCTGCGAGCGTAAACGCGGGGGTAGCCAAAACTCGACCTTGCTTTATCTGTCGGCGAGACGAGCGGCCTTACGCCGCGGTCCCTCTAATGTCGGACTCATTCAAAACCGATGCTCTACCCATAGTTCGTTAGGCCGGCCAGATAGACCACGGCCAGACTGTGTTCCCGAGGGGCTGTCCTCGGGAAATTTATATTCACTCGCGAACATGGCCGTACATTCGCGTTCCTCCGTTCCATCGATTCGCCCGGATGCGCCTCGCACGCGCGAGAGTCATCCCGATGTTATCGTCGCGACAAAGCCGTATCGCCCACCCGCCGCGTGTACTTACGCGTCTCAGCGAATTTACGTACGGAAGATGACAGCCTCGCGCACCTGTCGCTTGTTGCGCGAGTTAATATAACCGTTACATACATCCTCTCTCTCTCTCTCGAACGTCTTTCGCGGACGCCTCTATTTTCGACTCGCGATAAAATTGGCCGCGGCGCGATTGTTAATGGGAGTAGACGTCGTCGGCGCGGCCTTCTATTTCGGGTGCGCAGCGCGTCCCTTCGGTGCCGTTATTTATTAAGCGCGCGGAATGCGGGGCAGGCGCATTCTGAGTCGCGGTAATAACGCGTCTCTCGCGTATCCTCTTTCGTGTCTTCATTCAGCGAGAGACCGCCCTCCTCGCGCGCGCGAGAGAGAGACGCGTAGTACACGGGGCCCACCTTGTCGACGTGTAATTTATACAACTCCGCTGCGCGTAGTTTCACCTCGTTAAATAATTGGATCGCGGCGGCCGGGGAACTTTCTACGGTTTTACAATTTCGCCGTCTCTCTCGTAATTATTCGATAATTGTTGCATTGTTTTCAATTGCATTGCGTATGCCAATATTTGCTTAATTAATAATGCGATACGCGCGTAATATAAATAATTAATCGCCCAATATTGATGCGCCGGAGGAGCATATGGCGCCGGCGCTGAGTTCTCCGGCAAATATTTGCCATCGTGTAATTTACCGCCATTAAAAGACATCGGGCGCGCATCGTGTGTGTGTGTGCACGCGCAAACACACCCCCGCTCCGTCGTAAATTACTTACCACGCACTCCCGTAAGACTGGCGCGCGCGCGCTTCGAGGGACGATACAATCGCTAATCGAGCGTTGTTAACGGTGCGTGATAACACCCTAACGACCCTAGTTGCGGAAACCATCCATTCGAATTCGGTGCTTCCGGTGTAACGGTCTAATACCTTGACAGTATTTCTTAATTAAGCGCACCAACGGTCGACCTTGCCGTCGACCTCGAGCCGTTACGAATCTCGCGATCGTGGTCCATTACACCTGATAAAAAGGCAACGGCTTACAAAAACGAAGGGTCGCAGGCAGTAACCATTGTCATCGCGAATATACAGCCGTTTCGTTGGAGAGAGCCGAATGGTGATCCGAGCGATTCTTTGTCATTACGATCGGCACACGTGTGCGAGAGACACGCTCGTGTGTGCGATTTTCTCATTAGAATATGGCTTGCTAATTAACAAACCGCTGGCCGGATTAAACGGAAAAGCTAGAAATTACCGCGGAAATTTCGGGATAAACAACGTACCCCGATTCCGCGCTCTAGTCAGTAATTCCAAGGTACGAGCCTTGCTTCCTCTTTTTCTTCGTCTCTTTTTTGTCAAAGCTGCAACTGATATCGTATTTAAATCCCGCGGACTTTATGGCTCTCAATATGCGACGAGAGGGACGATTCGCTCTTTAAATCCTCTTCATGCATGTACGCGTCATGCTCCAGTTCCCCGGTTCTTGCGTACACATTTTTGCATCTAGATACATTCCCCTGAAAGCCTTTAATCGCAGTTTTGCAGAGCGTCCGGTTTCGGGCAGGAGCAATAAAAAGCCCGAGTCTCGGAAAAACTCGTTAGATGTGTTCTATAGCGTCACCTTACTCATCGAGAGACACTGATTTTTCTCCCAACTTGTAATCAGAAGACATTTCCATTAAAAATTTAATTTAGGAAAATTTAATTAATCCTCTCTGTAGCCGAATGAGGTGCTTGTAATATTCAATAGAGCAGTTTAACGCAAGGGAGCAAAAAGTTTCGCAGCGGAGCGATTAAGAATCTGTAAAACCGCCGCGTACTCCCGAAGAATACTCGTGTCTCCGACACTTTCCCGAATCTGCAAGTCGCTCCCCTCTCTGGATGGCGTCTGAAAACTGGGAAAATGCAGCGGTTCGCCGCATTTCGCGCGAATACGGAATCGGAGCTCTCGAAAAAAGAAGCGCATCGATGGTGGAATGTAAATCGCGGCGATAGAGGGGCGAGATTATGAGTCGCGGAACAATACCCGGCGCTGGATCGAATTGCGACGGGGAAACGCGGAGGACGGTGAGAGTCGGCGGAAAGCAGGAATTTTTCGGAATTTTATTACTCTTTCATGATCGTGCCGCATCTTCGCGGATCGGCATGAAATCGCTTTTACTCGAGTTTAATAAACCCAGCCCACGCGAACACGAGCGCGCGCGCCATACACGCTCGTGCGAGAAAAGTCAACGCGGCCGGATTACGCGGGGAGAGTTCGCGACGGTATAAAATAGCGAGATGATATTTTCGAGATTACCTCGGGCGATATCGCAAAGCCGATGGTTATTTTTCGAGGACCCGATTCGGTCGGCCTTTGCGCGGTTCTTTTTTCCTCTTCCCCTCTCTCTCTGTCTCTCTTATTTGACAAGATCGATATTAACGCAAAACATCGCGCAATCCTCGCTTCTCCTTCGACGTTAGCGGCTAATCTTTACGACAGATTTATGTGCCGCGTCTTATCGGCGGTCGGGGCGAATCCCCGGGACACGTGCGGAACGAATACCACGATGCGATATATCGCCGTAACGCGCACGGAAACGCGAAACCATAAAGAGAGCCGGTTGCAATTGAATAAAGTTAGGCCGGAGCGCGGCGGGCTCGGCCCGCACAATGGCAGATTAGGCGAGCGATCATTTTTTACATTCGCCTGGCTTCGTTCCAGCTGACACCGGCATATGGCCGCCCAAAGATTACGAGGGTACCGCCGCACGGCCGTGTCCAATTTCCAACGTTATTATTATTTTAATCCCTTGAGCCCGAGGCAAGGTGCCACACCGCCGCGCTCGCGGCGGATGGCGAAAATATTCTCCGTCGTAATTTCAATTGCAAACGCGCCCTTTTTAGCTTACCACAATCCATCTCATTGCGTACCGCGCGCGAGCTGACTTTGAAAAATGAGATACATTTGCCCGGCTACACGGTGCAGACGATCAAATAGACGTCACGCATCGCGTCGAGAGAGACTAAGAAGTGACTCAATAGCAAGAACAATAAAGCACTTTCTGACGTTTCAGGAATTCGTAACCATCGCCGCGGATTAAACGGCTCATTTTTAGTATCTCTCCTGCGACATGTGCGCATATTGTGCGCACAGAGAAAAATATCGCTTATACTGCAAAGAAAAACATTACTCAGATTTTTTTTGTTTCTTATTCAAGTAATGCTTATCTTGAACGAAGAATATTTTCTTGATATATTATAGTGTTAAAATATACTCGTCACAAATATGGACAAAAGTTCATCAATATTTACTGCAAAACAAGAATTGGTTCTCTTTTCAAGAATGTTATAAACTTTCTCGAAGAAAGATTAAATTTTCCACAGAAAAAAATTAGTTTTAAATCGAGAATAGAATTATGGAAAATATATATATATATATATATATATATATAAATATATCATAAGTTCATTATAAGCATATCAAATAATTAAATTTATTCAAAATATATTCTCAATCCTAGTAAATTCAATAAAAAATATTACATTAAGACGCTAAAACT